AAAACTGACCGCAAAAATGTCCATTGGCAGTTCTTAAACAGTAGGATCCTGTCTTTTAAAAAGGCTTATCAGGGGGCCCAATATGAAACATTAAAAAAGCTTCTGCTCTGATGGGGGGTGGGGCAGGAGCAGCAAAAGACCACAGAGCCCAACAAGGGCTCCGCTGAAGGGTTCCCAGACCCCACTAAAGGCCCTTTTGTAGGGACCTCAGATACTACCAGTACCTTCTCCACAGGGACCAGATCCTGCCAAGGACTCCTGTTTAGGGACCCAGGAAACAAAGGTCCAGGCCAGCCCCACAGAGACAGGGCTGGCACTATCTGGACTCTGGCTCTGTCTCTATATCTGGCCATTTACCCTTCCTGTCACAAAGGTCTGGACACACCAGAGACAAGGTGCCAGAGAAAGACCCAGAGCCAGCAGTAAACTTAGAAACAATCTCTAAGTGTGTTTCTAGCAAAGCAGACACTCTCATTCAAAGCAAGGGTGGATGAAATCTTAATTTCAAAGAAGAAAATCAGAGCTGATCACGGGAGTGGGAAGAATCACTGGAACCTATCTGGGCTCCCAAAGGAACCCACCCTAGTGGTAAATGGAGGTGGGGTTGGGACAAGGAACCAGGTCACGAACGGCTCCTTCTGGAGCATCCCACCCTAAAACACTTCCTGGAGCTCGACACCCTTCCCAAGCAGAGTGCAGAAGGCATCATCTGTCCACAATTCTGTGAGCTATATGCACCGAGTTCTGGTTGCCATCGCTCTCAAAGAATTAAGAAGAAGTATCTAAGATGCTCCCAGCAACCACAGAGAGGAGCCAGCTGTCCAAAAAGTCAATACCCATTAAGCCATCAGGACTGCTCCCTGCTGGTGCTGCAGGATGGAGGCTTTGACAACCTCTGGGCACTATAAATTCCTTCTCACGCCAGAAAACATGGCACAATCAGACTGAAGAACTTTACCTTCATGGTGAGGATGGCATCTGTGCTGGACACACCCCACATGTATCTGGAGGGCCCTGCCACACGAAGATGCTCACCTCCACACACGGGCCAGACTAGGCCTGAAGTCTTCAGTGTGTGTGGCAGGAGACACCTGCAATGCCCTTCTCCCTCCAGGTGCTGGCTGCCAGCTCCACATGCCAATGCCCTGAGGTGAAGGACAGGCCGGCACCCAGGGAGACAAGTGTCTGACACTAGAGTGGAAGAGAGCACAGGGGAGGACTCTCTAGGGGCGCAGACCCAGGAGGGCACAATCCTACCCTGCCTCTCACTACTGGGTGACCCGCACAGTTCTCAGCCTCTCTGGGCCCTGGTCTGGTCTCTTTCTTTATAAAGAAAGGGGGTGACTGGTGCTTGCTTTGCTTAACAGTTTGGTTATCTTTTGTTTGGGGGGCGGTACGGGGGATCGAACTCAGGTCCTTGCACTTTTGGAGCAGGTGGCAGAACCACTGAGCTAAATCCCCGGCCCTAGTTTGGGTTATCTTGAGGACAACATGTTTGAGAGTCACACCGAGGTGGGAGATGTTAAAACAGACTCTGAGCTCCCTGCTTCCCCAAGTCTGAATCATCAGAGAAAATTCACAAGTGTGCATGAGGGGTCTCACTTTGAGAACAGAAACCCCCAGAGGAGGATTCCTCCAGGCCCCATGTTATGTTCCCAACACAGACTAAAATTCTTCAACGACATGGCCTAAGGAAGCCCAAGTGTGCAAGCAACCCCACAAGCACCTCTGACCAACAGCCATCTACCTTGTTAGTGCCCAAAGAAGAGAAAAGCCAAGGCCACTGGGATGCATCTGGGGCAAATGACACCCAGGCTGGGCTCTCAACAAGGTCACTGCCTTCTGAGAGGTGGTGGCAGAGCGGTGGAAGTAAAGCTCCCACAAAGCAGGGGACAAACACCTTCGAAAGGCATCTTTCAGAGCCACCCAGTTTCCTTAACACAGCCCGAACACCTCATGTTACAGATGGCCATGGCGGCTCAGACAGTTTGGGTGAATGGCCAGAAGCACACATGGTTAAACGTGACAGATAGACTCTGGCCATGGCACACACTGGGCTTGCTTGAACTGTGGTACTGTGCCTCAGGGCTTTAGGTTGCCACAGGAGGGAGGGGGGACCCCAGACCACAGGTATGGGGATAGCTTCCACGCCACTGAAGAGGACAGGCAAGTGAGAAAAAGAGGGAGAAAATGGGGAGACACATAGCAGAGCTGGTGGAACGACGGACTGTCCCAAAAAATAGCTATGTGCATGACAGGTGAGGGAAGGGGATGCCTCTGGCCAGGGCTTCTTGGCCAAGGATGCACTACCTTATCTTACTGGTGCTTGTTCTCTGTGTTATCCAGTATCTGGCTTCTTACAAACCTAATGAAATGAAAGCTGGCCCAACTGGATTCCCTTTCAGTTCTCTCCACTTCCATTTATCCCATCCTGGGATGAACAGAAATACATGTTACCTTCTCTGAAAATCCACAAGGACATCATCTCCACAATGGAATAGCCTTAGGACATGGCCACAATGTAGTGCGGCAGCCAAGGCTCTGAGGAAGACGGCTGCCACATGGCCCGGTCCCAGGCTTGCCCTGGTGATAGCTGCTCATGCTGCATCCCTTGGGGCTCAGTCCTGCACTAGTGTATAGAAATCAGAGCCAGCTACAGCTCTGAGGAGGGATCCCTGAGGCAGGGCAGGTAGAGTGCCATGAAGGACAGCATAAGGAGGCCCTCATCAAATGCCAGGCTTAAAAGAGACAGAAGCTCTTAAGGCTTTCCAGAAACTTCCATAAGACCACTTTCATCTTTACTTCAATAGGAGGGCTACAGAACTGAAGTCCCTTCCACTCAGTCCCATCGTTGCATTAGGCAGCTGTGTGATCTGACAAGTCGCTCAACCAGTGAACTGTTCGGTGCCTCAAGTGCAGCAGCCTGTCCTGAATCAGGAGCTCAAAGCCAGAGCATCTGCCACTTGACCACCCTGTGCAAACCCACTAGCAAGTCTATGGTCAAGGAGCAGCAGGCTGGGGGCCTTGAGGGGTCTGTAGTCCCTCACCTTTCTGATAGGTGTCGAGGCCCTAGGCCATGGGTGTGTGAGAGCAGGGAGTGGCTATTTTTAAGTGACATGTCTCAGCTATTTCAAGGCTTGGGTTTTTATTTTATTTATTTAATTCAAGAGGAAGCTGTACTTTCTCATGACTTACTTCTTTCAAAATGGTGTCACGGGCATTTTTAATGTTGAAATCATCTTGGCTTTGGAGCTGGTCAAAACATGTCTAAGAGGCAATCCGCCCTTTTCCATGCCACTCAAATAAGAAAAGCTAATATAGTAGAGTTAGAATTTCGACAGCTGGAAGACCCAAATGTTGGTATTTTTCCATAAAAAATTTAATACCATGCTCTGTGTTTTAAAATACTTGTATTAGTCCCAAAATACAGATCTAAAAGATTTAGAATCAGTATCATACAGAGTGCTTTAAAGCACACTTGTTTACTACAAAATTGAAAACTCAGAGCAGCAAGTGGCCAGCCGATCGCCCACATCCTGGCACAGACACCTGCTCCTCCAAGCTTACAGTGGTCTTTGTAGGAGCACACATGACTTCCACCTGTCCTTGGGCTGCAGCAATCTGGAATGTTCACGCTCAGCACATAGAGGATGATTCTGTGTCCAAACTCATAGCTTCAAAACATCAAAAGTAAAAGAAGCTGGGTGCTATGGTGCATAACTGTAATTCTAGCACTCTGGGAGGCTGAACCAGGAGGATTACAAGTTTGAGGCCAATCGGGGCAACTTAATGAGACCCTGTCTGAAAATTTTTAAAAAGGGTTGGGAATGTATCTTAGTGCAAGGCCCCTGGGTTCAATCTCAGTATCCCCCCTCCAAAAAAACAAAAAACGCAAAATAAAGACAAATAAACAAAAATACCAGAAAGTACAAATGAGATCAATTAAAATTTAATTTTTATAAAGACCAAATAATTCAGCTGGGCAGCTCAGGCCCAAGGTGATGGGAGGTGTCAGGGACTGAATACTCAAGTCTGGGACTAGTCTCTGCCCCAGGGTGATCAATTTCTCTCCAAAGTGAAAGGTAGCCAGGTGTGATGGTGCACACCTATAATCCCAGCCCTCAGGAGGCTGAGACAGGAGGATCCAGCTAGGACTACAAAGTGAGTTCAAGACCAGTCTGAACTAGTGAGACCCTGTCTCAAAAAAACCCAAACAAACAAAAAAACAAAGTGGAGGGTAAAAACCCAATAAGCAGTAGATGAGAGATGGCAGCCAGGCTCAGGCCGGCAAAAGTCAGGGTCAGCAGCACCTAAAGAAGTGGCTGTGGAGGGGCCAAGAGCCTTCTCCATTCACCACTAGCATCCAGAAGATAAGTACAATCAGACAGCTTCTGGAGCAGAAGGAGGGGAAGTAAGACTAAGTAATACACCAGGCAAAACAACTGGGAATCTGAATTTCTTACCAAAATATCTGCTATTTCTTGGGTTTAAATTACTTTCTCCAAATATCTTTGTGAAAGTCGTAACTTTAATTTTCTATGTATTATTTACAAGCTACTGTTACCTTATAAAATTCAGTGTTTAGTTTTAAAATCAATAAGGTGCTAAAACAAGCAGGAATAGTACTGCTTGTTTGACCAAATGATGCTAGCCCATTATCTAAAATGTAAACAATATCTATTATAATTCCCTCAAATTTAAAAAAAGAGAAGAGGAAAATCAGCTACACTGAAAACTTCCATAGAATGCATCTAGTGGTGCTGAGCTCATTGCCAAAGCATGGGAGAAAAGAGGCCAGCAAAAAAATGGTTAATGCTGGCCTTAAAGGGAGGCAGCCAGGCCCAATGAGGAGGGCCCTGGGAGCCTATAAAGCCGGCCCAGTGCCAAGGGGGCCAGACTACGCCTTCAACAGCCACAGGCTTCCTGGGGAACCTTCCCACCAGACTTTCCAGGCAGGGCTTTCTTCTCTGTCTCTCCTGCTGGTCCCATGCTCAGCCTTGTGGACCTTCTTCTCTGTCTCTCCTGCTGGTCCCATGCTCAGCCTTGTGGACAGGGTCCCAAGTCCTGGATCTCATCACTGCAGACAAATTCCAAGTGCACCTCCAGCAAACTGCGGAGGGTGGGGAACATGAGAAGGGTCTGTCCAGATTCCAGATGGCTCAGAAGGCCCCGTCTGTGACCCAGGTAAGCCTCATATCCCGCCCCGGGTTCTGACTACAACTGCAGCCCTGTGGCTGAAATGGCAGGATGTGCCCTAGGGGGAGCAGCTCAGGCCCCCACCCTCCAAATGAGAACCCAGGGCGGCTGCAGCAGGGTCTGTGCCTTTTATCCAGTCCAGCATTCTGCCAGCTCTGTTCAAGCCAGAATGTGTCTCATTTGAGGCTCTGCCTTGTACTATGGTGCAGTGCTTCTGCCAACCCAGAGTGCTTTAGAATGACTTGGGCGGGTACACCCAACAGAAGTACAGCCTCCTTTTCCTAGGTCAGGACAAGCTGGAGAAGAGACAAAATAATACCAAACTGTTCAGTGCACACCTTTATACTTGTAAGTTCATGGCTGAGGGTCTGCTCACCTGAAACTGCCTCTGCACTACCGCCTGAGATGCTCCAGGGTTCCCACAGTCAAAGAGCAAACTAGAAGCCTGGCAAGTTTTAAAAAAGATATTAAATACAGACTCTGTGGATAGATCCTTAGCATAGTGACATTTATACTGCTCGAATTGGTAGCATCTATGGAAGACAAAATAGAACACAAAGTAGCCAATACAATCAAGCCCACCTTCCCAGCTCGGTGCAGAGGAGGGAACACCTTCAGAACAGCTCCTGGCACCAGACAGTGAGCTTTGCACCACTCCAAAACCATTCCTAATGACCTCAAAGGGTAAAATCTTTTGCTAGGGAGGGGTCATTCTGCGCACTCAAGGAGGCAGAGCAACATCCCAGGTCTCACCTACTAGATGCCAGCAGCCAGCCCAGCTGTGACAACCTAGTGCCCCCAGAGACTGCCACACACTGCTAAGAACCCTGGCCACGCCACAGAGAACTCCAGGACAAAGCAAGTGCCTCAGGTGACCAGAAGCCCACATCCATGTCCATGTCCTCTCCCCACTGCAAACAAACACTGAGGGGGATTTCCTTTACCCAGTTTCTAGGTTAAAACAGCATTACAAAAATATATTAGGGGGCCGGGGATTTAGCTCAATGGTGCCGCCGCCTGCCTCACAAGCTCAAGGTCCCCAGTTCGATCCCTGGTACCCCTCTCAAAAATACATATGTATATATTAGGTTTTTTGTTGTTTGGGGGGATTTATTTGAGGTGGGGTCTTACTATGTTATCCAGACTGGCCTCAATGTTCCGATCCTCCTACCCCAGACTCTCAAGTAGCTGGGATTGTAGGTGTACACCACCACACCAGCTTAAAATATATTAGGTTTTACAGTAATTTGTTGAAATTTTAAACTTTCTTTCTCCCCTCCCTCTCTCCCTCCTCTTTTGAGATGAGGTCTCTCTGTGTTGCCCAGGCTGGCCTCTATTTTCTAGACTCAAGCGATCCTCCTGCCTCAGTCTCTGAGCACATGGGATTACAGGCATGCACCATTATGCCCAACTAACATTATTTCCTGGCCATTTTTATTCCTTATTATCTTTCATTCTATATTTTGAAACAGTTTCATTTCAGGCACCTAAGCTGAGTACTAGTATTACAGAAAAAGCTAGGTTTATTTTGCCTACTTTACTTTGAGAGACTCCTCTGATTCTACCAACTTTTCTGAATCCACTACCTTCCAGAAAAGCTGGGTTTTTCCCTACCCATGCTATTTCTTTTCCCAATAGTGGTTGAAATAAATTTTATTTCATGTGCTGACAAACAGTAGTTTTCCTAAGGTTCCCATGCCCAGTGTTCATGCTACTCTGTAAGTCTGCTATCTGACTGTCACCCACTGGTTTGGGGGATGAGTCATAGCTGTCTCCAACTTAAACCAGGCAACTCCAGGAGCCCTGTGCAGAGAAAAGATTTTCCACATTCATTCTGAGCTTCTCCCCAAAGCAATAAAGCCAAGAGCGCTGCCTTCCCTCAGTGCTCATGGGATCCACAAGAGTTTGGCTGCCCGGGAAGGCCAGGCTACACGACAAGCCTTAATTCTGCCCTGTTGCTCTCCCAGGTGCCCAGACAGTGAGGATGCAGCTGCCATGCCCAGATGCTGCTGGAGACCAACTCTACCTGCTCTTTCAGCTTCTGCAGCTGACAGACCCAAACCATCACAGAGCTCCCTGTAACAGCATTTCCTGCTATAAAAACACCTGGCTCTGTTCAAAGAGAATCACCTTCCTCTCTAAAGATGGAGCTGTTGTTTAAAACAGATTTCTGTGACCCTTTTGGCAAATCCTGAAAGTGGTGTGGTGAAGACATGGATGTGACTCCCCCGGTCCACAACCTGGGTGTGGAGATCTACCCAGGTACTGCGCAGCTGGCAGCCTCCAACAGCACCCCCACGGAGCTCAACCTGTCCCAGCTGCTGCTTGGCACTGCCCTAGTAAACCAGACAGGTGACCTCTCTGAGCACCAGCAGTATGTCATCGGCCTCTTCCTCTCCTGCCTGTATACCATCTTCCTCTTCCCCATCGGCTTCGTGGGGAACATTCTGATCCTTGTGGTGAACATCAGCTTCCGGGAGAAGATGACGATCCCGGACCTGTACTTCATCAATCTGGCTGCAGCAGATCTCATCCTGGTGGCTGACTCCCTGATAGAGGTGTTCAACCTGGACGAGCAGTACTATGACATCGCTGTGCTCTGCACCTTCATGTCTCTCTTCCTGCAGATCAACATGTACAGCAGCGTCTTCTTCCTCACCTGGATGAGCTTTGACAGGTACATTGCGCTGGCCAAGGCCATGCGCTCCAGCCTCTTCCGCACAAAGCACCGTGCCAGGCTGAGCTGTGGCCTCATTTGGATGGCCGCTGTCTCAGCCACTCTAGTGCCCTTCACGGCTGTCCACTTGCAGCACACTGAGGAGGCCTGCTTCTGCTTTGCAGATGTCAAGGAAGTACAGTGGCTGGAGGTCACTCTGGGGTTCATTGTCCCCTTTGCCATCATAGGGCTCTGCTACTCCCTCATCGTCCGGGTCCTCGTCAAGGCTCACAGGCACCGAGGCCTGCGGCCCCGCAGGCAGAAAGCCCTCCGCATGATCTTCGCTGTGGTCCTGGTCTTCTTCATCTGCTGGCTGCCCGAGAATGTCTTCATCAGTGTCCACCTCCTGCAGCGGACACAGCCAGGGGCCGCTCCCTGCAAACAGTCTTTCCGCCATGCCTACCCCCTGACCGGCCACATCGTCAATCTCGCGGCTTTCTCCAACAGCTGCCTGAACCCCCTCATCTACAGCTTCCTCGGGGAGACCTTCAGGGACAAGCTGAGGCTGTACGTCGAGCAGAAGACAAACCTGCCAGCCCTGAACCGCTTCTGCCATGCAGCCCTGAAGGCAGTCATCCCAGACAGCACCGAGCAGTCGGACACCAAGTTCAGCAGTGCTGTGAGAGAGGCCTTGCCAGAAATAGCATGTGCTTGAGCAGGGTGGGCAGGAGGCATGGCTGCATCACACTCCCATACCTCCGTGCTGTGGTGAAGATCACACCTGCTGGGCAAACCCTGCTCCGGTCCTCCCTGGCCTTGTCCTGCTCACAGACTTGCAAGGAACCAAGCACTCGTGACTGCAGGTTGCACAGCTCTGGCGTCAAAGGGCATGGGAACGACTTGTAGCTCAGTTGCTTCTGCACACTGTTTCCCCAGTGGAAAATGATTCTGCTCTTGACCAACAAAAGCAGAGGCCGATCCTAGGGAGAGGACTTAGTTAAAAGGTAAACCTGCAAAATGTCAGTGGTCCTGGGGTGAAATGAAGTCTGGAGACAGAATATGCTTCCTATACTTCTGAGTGTAATTCACTCCACACACAGTAACTTGTGCATCCTGAGCTGAAGAGGAAAAGAAAAAGAAAGAAGTGTTCCTCTTGTATGCACCCAAGCATTCCTATCTCTTCCAGTGCCATAGCGCTGCTCCTAGCCGGCCCTCAAATACTGGCCAGGTAACTCTGGGTGCTGAGCTGGGAAGGCCCTCCTTTAGCAGAATGCCTGCCTGCCTGCAGCCTGCTGCTTGCCCAGAGATGCCACTTCATCGCTATATTGTTTACAACAGTCTCTACAATTCCCAGAGTATGGGATGAGACTGGGAGCCACCATGAAATACTCTGCATGTACAGTTGAAAAATTCGCCGCTACAAATGTTAACAGTGGCGACAATGATGATAATATAAACAGTTCTCATTAAAATGTAAAGAAAAGAAAACTGCTAGTAATACGCAGCGTTTATCAATAAAATGAAGTTATGTGCTGAGTCTTCTAAATGGTGTAAGCAGTTCCCTGGTGGGGTGAGAAGAGGGGCAAGGAGAGGCCTTCAGAAGGAGCCACAGGATCAGAATGGCCCCTTTGTCACAAAGGAAAATGTGCCCACAGCCTCACAAAGCTCATGCGCCACCCAGAGAACTCTTGGAGGCCAACATCTAAACCTGACCAGCAGGACAGAACCTGGTGCTTCCAGGAGGCCTCACAGGCTGCATCCTGCCACTGTGTGCACCACCCTTGGGCACCAAACACATCTCACTATGAAAGCAGAGGTGGGGCTCAGCCCTGTCCAGGTGCCTGCCCTGCTCAGCTACAGCTATGAGCCCATGGACCACTCACAGGGTGAGCTGTCAGCAAGAGGGCCCTGACCTGCTCTGTCCCAGAACAACCCTCTGCCATGTTCAAGGGCCCACTTCTCTGGCCAAAGAGCTCAGGTCTTCAGACACACATGCAGGTGCTGGGGCAGGGTGTCCCAAAGGAGAACACAGGTGACACACAGGTGACAGAGAAATGACCAAGTGGGTTTTAACTGTATGCATGTCATTTTCTACTTAAAGTTATACTGATTTTATTTCTGATAATATAAAGTTTATTTATAAACAACTTTAAGGTACACGGTGAGTTTATTTAAAAAAAACATCTGGAGGCTAGGTGTGGTGGTGGGCATCTGCAATCCTAGCACTCCGGAGGCTAAGGCATGAGGATCGCTACAAGTTTGAGGCCAGCCTGGGCTACATAGTGAGTTAAAGGACAGCCTAAACTACATAACAAGATCCTGTCTCAAAAAAACAAACCAAAATAAAACAAAAGAAGAAAACATCTGGAAAGAGAGCAGGTAGCTCCTAGACCAAACTAGGCAGAAAGATGGAGCCCTGCTCTTCCTCCCTTGCTCCAAGGTTCTGGTGGGCGCAAGGCTGTAGGCTGGTGGGTGGGGCAGGCCTGGCTCTGGCAGCTGGGAGATGCCTAGGTTCTCAGCCCTAATCACTGTGAGTGCAAATCTCCCAGACAGAAGTCTTTAATGGTGACTGAGCAGTGACCTCCCGTGCCATGCATCCCACAATCTGTGAGCACGAGCAACACACAGGCGACTCCTCTGTGATGGTCTCCACAGATCAATAGGCCTAGCACAGGTGGAGGACCACCTCGGGGGTCAAAGGTGTCCACATGTGGCTCTGACCTGGCTGTGGCTGCCAAATGGATGCTGGAGCACGCCTCCCTCGACCTGAGCCTCCCTGTGAGTCGAATCTGCAAGGGTGGAAACATCATTGTGCAGGGGGCAGGCCTAAGATGCCTTCTGCCCCACCCAGAATCCTTGTGCACTGCGACATGATGCCCATGTGGTCTCCTCCACGGAGCACAGGGACACAGCCGAGAGCAGTGCCCAGGGACTGTGGCTGTAAACCTGACAGAGTGAGGTTCTGACAGAATAAACACCAGATCTGAGTTCCCTTTCTGACCTCAGTGCTGGTAACAGGAGGCCCTCCATCTCAAATCACAGGAAGGAGGCAGGGCTGGGCTCCCAACATGAGCATCCAGCCACATGAGAGACATCCACCACCACCCACCCCTCATCCTGATTTGAAAAGTGGGTCACACAGGTGCTCCAGGCATGCAAAAATTGGAGATCTGATGTTTTTAACTTTTAGCTCTGACAGGGGGGTGGAATGGAGCAGACAAGGATTAAGACAAAGAGCTGTTTAATGTGTGGGTCTTTCAATAGTCCTCCAAAGTAGACACTATGCATATTACTTAGAAGACACCAAGGCTGTGACTGTCCAAAACCTTAGTTGGTAAGCAGTGTAGCCAGGAACCTTGGTCTCTCTAGTTCCAAAGCCCATACTCCTTCTTCCATGGCACATGGCAACCTGGATCTAACAGGCAAAAGCACCCATGTGGGAATCAGAAAGCCTGAGAGCCCTGGGAACAAAGAGGTCAGCCAAGATCACTCCCCTCTCCTTTCTAAGCTGCATCACAAGGCACTACAGGGAAGGCTGAGTGGAGCTCTCCCCTAAAGGACTGAGGGACTTCATCTGCCTGGGCCCAATGAAGATGCAGGAACCGGGACATATTCTTTTGCCACAAACTAGCCCTTAGGGTCACTGTGTCTCCTCTTAGTCCTCAGGACCTCAGGAGCAGCCTACTGGGGCATTCCATCCCTAAGGCTGCTCCTCCCCACACCACAGATGCCACTGTCCCTCCCATGCTGGCCCACCCTGAGGCTGCTGAACACTAGGCTGTCCTTAAGCAGGTGTAGGTGTGTGTGTGTGTGTGTGTGTGTGTGTGTGTGTGTGTGTTTTCCAGGCCAGATGGAGCAGGAATGCAGCCCTGCTAACCTAGGAATTGCTGCCGTGTGTGTGTGTGTGTGTGTGTGTGCGTGCGTGCGTGCGTGCGTGCGTGCGTGTGTGTGTTTTCCAGGCCAGATGGAGCGGGAATGCAGCCCTGCTAACCTAGGAATTGCTGCCAGCCTGCAGAAGTTAGGGCAGAGCTGCTCTGAGGCTAGTGGACAGCTGGCTAGGGGGCACATGCAAGACACAGGCCCCACTAACAGAATGGGATCCTACTGGCTGGACACAAGGTGGGGCCCTCTGGAATCTCTTATGCCCTGAGGTCCCAGAGCTTGTGCCTGGCAGACAGGGAGAGCCCAGGCCACAGGCCCCATGGGGCTCTGGGCACAGTCTGGCCAGCCTTCTGCAGGGATTTGTCTGGGAGCTGAGGCTAACTTAATTATTTTTGGCAGGAACACCACAAGATAAAATCAAGGCGTTTTAATTGCTTTGTTGTTTCCTGGTAACACAACTCTCTCTTAAACTAAGCGGTTTAAGCCCTAGGAAGCTAGAAGAGTAGTAACTCTTAAGCACATAAAAATCACTCAGCACTGACTATGACTCCAACTTTCCTGACAGTGTCCCCCACCCCTGCCCCCAGTGAGGAATGGTGACTCCTGTTCACCAAGCCTCACTGGCAGGTGCCCTCTGGGGGGCTACCTTTGAGAGGGTACAGCTCTGGGGCACTCAGGGCTGAAGAGTAGCAGTCACAGCAGGGGGAGAGGTAGGATAGAAAAAATTTTAAAACAGGCAAAAAGAAGACGAGGAAATCTGGATTTTAAAATTGTACTTAAAAAACAAAAAAATAAACATCAACAAAAAAACCCTTATGGCTTTAGGACACAAAAGTTATTTAGGCTTTTTTCTCTTCCAGAAAGCTCACTCAAAAAAATTACTAAAGGTCTTAAAGACATATAAGCCTGTAAACTGGACTCTGGACCTGTCCTCTTCACCTGCAAATGGTGCTTCCTCCATCCTCAAGGAAGCAGCAAATCTCAACTCTGTAAATAGCTTGCATTCTGACATAGCCTGCCAGACCAGCAACCCACCAGATAGTAAGATCACTCAGCCTAGATCACCTGTCACACCTCTAAGACCCCATAAATATACCCAGCTCTGGCTCATAATGTGCCCCTCTCTCCCTTGAGGGTCTTCACTCTTTCTCTGAGTGTGAACCTTTGAATTTCTGCCTAAGAAAACCCTTTCCATGCCTCTTACTGACTAGTCCTGAAAATTTTTTTCCCCATGGGAGTGAGCAATCCTGCAAATTTATTCCACAAAAAATTGTGGGTTAGGTTCCTTATTTCAGCTTCAGGGACCTCCCCAGACCCTATTCAGTGACAGGGGGAGAGGGGAGCAGTAATGCTGTAGGAAGGGATCAGTCTAAACTCAAGACTTCGAAAGTAAGAATGTGCCTGTGAACACACAAGTGTGAGCACATGCATGCACACTGGGCATGTATGTCTGGGTGCACACACTGCATGTGTACAGTGTGTGAACAGCTGTGCTGCTCACACATCCTCTGCTCTGTCTGCCCAGATGGTAGGCACCAGCTCTGGTCTCCGAGGGGCTGGAAGGCACCAAGTGTGCCTGGAATGTGTGGATCTGTGGGTGAGAGGTTTTGAGATGACAGGTCATACCCAGAGGACACAGGAGATGGCTCAACAGACTCCCACTGGCCAAATTTGGGATAATGTGAGCATCAGGGTAATTAAAAAGAGAAAACAGTTGTAAGCTATTAAAAAAATAAGAACCCACAAGTCCATTCCAATAAAAACCAGATAAATATAATTTAAATAAACAATAAATAAATTACAATACAGTAAGAAACAGAGGAATGAATGAGAGTGTGGACACTGGTTGGTAGAAGAGCAGAGCATTTTGGAGGTTGTTTCCTGCAGTTTTCACTGTGAGAAGGTACAGTCAGGAGTGCCAGAGGGGGCTGTCAGGGCACTTGATGGCGAGCAGGACATCCACAGAGCCTACCTTGTCTCCCAGAGACAGCCCCGGACTGAGGAGTCACATCAACATTGCCATGAGAAGTCCAGTGGGACACCAAGAAGGACAGGATGCCTCCTGTATACTTGTGTAAGGACACACATCCAGGTCTCATCAGAATCAAACACCAGAAAAATCCAGCATGGTGACAGGGAGCCAGTGGGCACCAAAACTGTAAAAGCCTGCTGGGTGTGACTGTACATGGCTATAATCCCAACACTGTGGGAGGCTGTGGCAAGAGGATCACAAATCCAAGCCAGCCTGGGCAACTTAGTGACTTGGGGAGACCCTGTCTCAAAAAGGAGTGTGTGGGGGGGGATTTAGCTCAGTGGTTGCAAGGACCCGAGTTTGATCCCCGGTACAAAAAAAAGGGGAGGTAGGGGGTTGGGGGTGTAGCTTAGTGTGAAGACACTGGGGGTTCAATGTCATGAGAGACAATGGTGGAACAACTGCTCAAAATTCAGGAGAAAGAAAAGAGGTAACAAATTCAATGTAGATCCTCGATGGGATGATCTAAAGTAGAAAAAGAAATATAAAGGAAATCATGATCCAGGTATGGCGGCACATGTCTGTGATATGGGCTACTCGGGAGGGTGAGGCTGGAGGATTCCAAGTTCAAGCCCACCCTGGGCAACGCAGCAAGATTTTCTCTCATTAAAAGAAAAAAAAAAAGGATGCTATGGAGTCAGTGAACAAACTTGTAATAACTAAGTAGATTAAAGGTTCCTATCAATATTCTGTTTCCTGAGACTGACGACTGTGCTGTGTTAAGCAAAATAATGCTATTAGTCTTAGGAAATACCCATTAAAGTACTCAGAGGTAAAGGATATGATGTCTGCAGCTGATTTTTTTTCTTTCTCCCCCCCTCCATGGCTTGAATCCAGGGGCCTTCTACTACTGAGCTATATCTTAGTCCCTTTTTATTTTATTTTGAGACAAGGTGTCCCTGAGTTGCCCAGGCTGGTCTCAAACTAGTAATCCTCCTGCCTCAGCCTCTGAGTAGGTAGGATCACAGGTGTGTGTCACCAGGCCCAGCTGCAACTTACCCTCATACACTTAGGGGATACAAGTGAAAACAGAACCTAACCACAAGCAGGCCAACAACCATCAAAGCAATAGACCAACTGCTAAGAATACCCACTTCACACTTATGGACCCAAAGAATCGAAAACAGGTGTTTAACCAAGTGTTTGCACACAGATTTT